TGCAAATAAGGTTTGCCATTGTCTTTCTCAGAATCTGGGAAAGCATGACTGGCTCAGGGTCACCTGATGGGTTTCCATGTCTGTGCAGGGATTTGTACTTTGGTCTCCTGGAGTCTTTGTCCAACTATCAGACCAGTATACTATACTGGCTATTATCTTTAGGATATCTCTTCATCTCTTTTTAGCATTGCTGAGTATTCTTTTTCTAGTTCAATGGTGCCTGCAATAAAGCCTGAAGTGGTTGCAATACACTTTGCACAACAGACAGTACAAGAAAGAAAAGCAAGCGTGTGAGCTTCAACCAGAAGTTTGACACTGAAAATGACTTGCCAATAATCCCAAGAATTACATAGAGGCACCCACACTGCTTCAAGTCTGCAGAGTCCAACATGACATGGCAAAATCATATGCCTGTTTCACTGAGCAACACACTTTCTACAATCAACATGTATTCAGATTCTAGCAAAATCAGGTCTCATTTGCCAGTGACAGGGAAAATATAGCTCCCTTTTTGAAACAAATTCCCTAAACACCAGTTCATGTTTAGGTATAATTCAAACTACTGGTAAATGATCATATAACTTAGCTCCAGACTATTTGAAAGATTATATTTTCCCTTATAAGCCTGCCCGAGTTTTCTGATCCTCAGGCATGGGATTTTTCTTGATCCCATTACCAACAGAGGCATATGTATTTGGCCTGGGAGAGAGCCTTCTTGGTGGCTTGTAGTGAAAGTGTATCTTGCCTTTTGATGAGAACCGATGATGTACCAGCTAAATAAACAGCCATCCCACCGGTCAGGAGAGGAGTAAAGTAAAGGGGAGGGAATGCATAGACATCTTTAAGATCAGACAAACATGCATGAAAACCACTAGGTCTGGGAGTTTTTTGTTTTTGTGTTTTTACATCTTCAGTGGACCATAGAAAACCCTTCATTTTTCAATTTATTTGAGTGGAATACTGTCTAAGACCAGCATGAGGCATTCTGGTGATGTTCTTGGCATACCTGTTTCAAGAAAATTGTCATTGGTCCTATTATTATTCCTGTTGTGGCTTTTTAAGTGATTGCCATAATCTCATTTGTATGCCTGCTTCAGCAGCCTGTCACACATCTGTAGCATATAATGAAAGGCAGCTATTAATATTTCTTCCACTCATGCTCCCCAATGGCACCTGTCTTTTAAATTACACCTTGCTATTCCAGCCCCCACTCTCTGCAATATTGTTCCTGCAAGCAAAATCCAACGACTTGTCAACCAAGCTGGAATGTATCATCTTGCATGAACATCCAGTTAAACTAAATTGTCATCAGGTTTCTGTCTAAGGAAGTAGAGGCCTGACTGATCAGTAAAAATGGCACCCAAGTGTCCAGAAAAAAATCAATTTAAAAAGGAGGACCATTTAAATGGCACAAAATAAGAGAATACAAAAGCCTCTAAAATCACTTGTCTTCAGTTACAATTTTAAACCTTATTATAAATACACGACAGCGACTGTAGCCAAAGGGTTTTGGCAGATAAATCCTTAGCCATAAAATACCCTTTTCTGCCATGGAGATCATGGAAGAATGTCCTTTCCAAGGATTCTTTCTCCCTTTTGTGTGTTGTGTTGCTTTCCCCATGTTTTTGCACCAGGATTCAGTCTCTCAACCTCACTCTTTCCTTCTCTTTCCTCCCCTGCTTCCCACTCTTTTTTCTTTCTTCCACAAAGCATGTGTCATTGTTCTATACCTTTTGTCCTTCTTTCTTTCTCCTTCAACCATCCTGCACTGCTCTGTTGGTACAAAATAAAATAATCAGCAGACTTCAGCAAGACATGCTTCAACGAAACATTACCAGGACTGCAGGCTAAACTGCAGAGGCATAACACATTACATTTTTTGTTGAAAGCAATGAAGTGTCAGGAACAGGGCAAATTTAAACTACAGCATTATTGAATGAGCAAAGCAAAATACAGTTATGGGGGGGGGGGGAGGGAGTAGTATTTAGTCAGATACCAATTGTACAAGTTCTCCCACTTAAAAAGATGAGAGCACCTGTAATTGACATGAGAGACAACATGAGAAAGCATATCCAGAAAATCACATTGTCTGATTTTTAACGAATTTATTTGCAAATTATGGTGGAAAATAAGTATTTGGTCACCTACAAACAAGCAAGATTTCTAGGTCTCAGAGACCTGTAACTTCTTCCTTAAGAGGTTTCTCTGTCCTCCACTCATACCTGTAGTAATGACACCTATTTGAACTTGTTCTCAATATAAAAGACACCTGTCCACAACCTCAAGCAGTCACACTTCAAACTCCACGATCATGAAGGACACCAGAAACAAAATTGTTGCCCTGTATCAGACTGGGAAGACTGAATCTGCAATAGGCAAGCAGCTTGGTGTGAAGAAATCAACTGTGGGATCAATAATTAGAAAATGGAAGAGATACAAGACCACTGATAATCTCCCTCAATCTGGGGCTCCACAAGATCTCACCTGTGGGGTCAAAATGATCACAAGAACAGTGAGCAAAAATCCCAGAACCACACGGGGAAAGCTAGTGAATGACCTGCAGAGAGCTGGGACTAACGTAACCAAGGCTACCATGAGTAACACACTACGCCGCCAGAGACTCAGATCCTGCAGTGCCAGATGTGTCTCCCTGCTTAAGCCAGTACTTGTTCGGGGTCAACTGAAGTTTGCTAGAGAGCATTTGGATGATCCAGAAGAGTATTGGGAGAATGTCATATGGTCAGATGAAACCAAAGTAGATCTGTTTGGCAGAAACACAACTCATCGTGTTTGTAGGAGAAAGAATGCTGAGTTGCATCCAAAGAACACCATACCTACTGTGAAGCATGGGGGTGGCAATATCATGCTTTGGGGCTGTTTCTCTGCAAAGGGATCACGGTGACTGATCCGTATACATGAAATAATGAATGGCGCCATGTATCGTGAGATTTTGAGGGCAAACCTCCTGCCTTCAGCAAGGGCACTGAAGATGAAATGTGGCTGTGTCTTTCAGCATGACAATGATCCCAAGCACACTGCCAGGGCAACCAAGGAAGGAGTGGCTTCATCAGAAGCATTTCAAGGTCCTGGAGTGGCCTAGCCAGTCTCCAGATCTCAACCCTATAGAAAACCTTTGGATGGAGTTGAAAGTCTGTGTTACCCACAACAGCCCCAAAACTCTTGAGGAGATCTGCATGGAGGAATGGGTCAACTTACCAGCAACAGTGTGTACCAAGCTTGTGAAGACTTACAGAAAACGCTTGACCTCTGTCATTGCCAATAAAGGATATATAACAAAGTATTGAGATGAACTTCCGTTATGAACCAAATACTTATTTTCCACCATAATTTGCAAATAAATTCATTAAAAATCAGACAATGTGATTTTCTGGATGTGTTTTCTCATGTTGTCTTTCATATTTGAGGTCTACCTATGATGTCAATTACAGGCCTCTCTCATCTTTTTAAGTGGGAGAACTAAAAAAAGGGGGAGAATTTGTACAATTGCTATCTGACTAAATACCCCCCCCCCCCCCCCGGATCCTTTTATTTTATTTGCATGCCAAACTGAGACCTTGTGATGCAGGGCAGGGCAGGGCAGAAATATTTAAAGAAAGGTTTAATTAAAAATACACTTTGACATGGAGTATTAACTTGAAATGTTATGTAAGCTGTTTCCTTGCAACATTTACTCCAACATAGCATTAGCAGCCATTTGAAAATGGAGTATTGCCTCATTATCACTTTTGAAACTTTTCCACCCTGCTTTAAACAAAAAACAAGTGTCAAACACTTCTAGATGAGAGGATATCATTGGCCTATATACACTGACAGAGCTCTATGGTACATGAGGAGATTTGGTATGCTCATGAATTATAGAGAACTGTTTCTTTTCAGTAGAATTTCACACACAACTTTTCCAGAGCTGCTGCCAAAGGGAAGGCCAAACTAAGAAGGAAATCCTTTCCATATACTATGTGGGTACAACTCAATAACAACTGCCCCTTTCCCAGCATTTCACCACATTTCCCACTTTCACATTTGTATGACAATAGCCATCCTACAGTTATGTGGTATTTTCAAGTACAGTTGGTAGAATCATGAAAGGTTCACTCAACAGATCTGAATTCTTGTATAGCTGCACACAAGAGTACACAATGTTTCACACTGCATTTCACAACAATAGGACCCAGCTGGACAGAACTAACAGTGTTATTCTTTCTCATCCAGATGTCATCACACTGTCTCATTCTCATAGTCAGCAGTGTACCAGACTGTGTGAGAAGAAGAAGCTCTCCTGCTATAAGTAATACACAAAAATGGAAGCGTAATCTTTGCCTATCATCACCCTAGCAGGATCTTGGTTTGGAGCAATGTGTAGAAGAGTTTATGTTTTAAATAACTGAGCTATGCTTTCATAAAACTCCAGTCATACCTGAAATGAATAGTACATGGCCAATCCAAAGACAATTTTATGATGTGGCTATTTTTTAACCACCAGCACAATTTTGTGAGAAAACACTTGTCAAGATGTCAGCATTCTTCCATCAGGGTGATTAATATTTTACCCATTTCATAGTCTCTTCAACTTTCTGAATTATTTAGATAGACTGAGTCAGTAGTGTTTTGAAATATAAAGCAAAAACACTACTGACTCCCTCTATCTAGGTAAGAGAGTCTATTAAAATGCCCCTTATTCTCAAGTTCTTGCATTTCTTGTTTCAAACTTTTAATAGTACAAATGTGCTTGGCTTCCGAGGACTACTTCCAAGAAAAATCAGACATTCACAGGATAAGACTCACTTATGAATAAGCATTTGTCTGCAGGCTAAAGGTGGATGTAGGACCAGGACAAGCACAAATGTAAACATATGCTTTAGAACACAACAAACCAACCATTCATGAGGTGCAAACTTGAGGTTCAGCAAGCTTGTTCTTCTCAAGAGAGGCCTCTTCTGATTGGATGATAACTCCATCAAGATTCACAAAGCAAAGGATACTAAAACTTTGATTGGTTATTTCAAAGTTCCATAAGTTTATCCTCAAATCATCTGCTGACATGTAGGTCTCATAGTCACTATTCACAGATATGGAGTTGATGTGATATGTGTGTGCATTTGCAAATACTCTCCTGGGAGTTGCCTCCACCATTAAATCCATGGGCCTTAGCACAGGTACCTAGAAAAGACAAAAAGAAAACCACTTAGTCAATCAAGACACAACCTACTATAAAATCCATCATATAAAAAGATATCACCCAATTTATTGAACTGCAATATTTGACTTCTAAACTCCAGATACAGCTCTCAGATTCCATTTTAAAGGGGTGATGTGCTGTTTAGGTTCATTTACTAAAAGGTCTTATTGCATTTAGTCTTTCTCATAATCATCATAGTAAATGGCACAAAATAACTCAGCTCTTGCACTTGAATTTTTGCTCTATTCCTAAACATGCAAAGAATAAAAGTCATTTATCAAGTAATGTATAAAGCCCATACACCCTCAGCCTTATCTCCCATTAATTTTCATTTCGGCTGAGTCTCTTCTGCACATTACACTTATTTGTGTTCTCAATTCTGAAATAAGAAGGCTATTTCACAAGAGGATTGGTGTAGAGACAGTGAGTGGACACTTTTGAACAAGTCTCCCTTTGGGCTTCCAGATGCATACCCTTTCCTTCCCAAATATAGTTTTACAATCAGCTAAATCAATCACAATGTCGAGAGTGTATTACAAAAGTTTGTGCATAATATTTAGACAACTGATTTGTCTTCAGTATGAAAGGAAATCACAAAGTATAAAATCATGTAAAAAATTATCCTGGCAGTTTTTTCATTGGATGGAAATATGTAATCAACCTAGATGTGAACCCCATAAATAAGAGAAGACACCTCAGTCTCTGATCATGCCACCCCCAAATACTTCTTAGATTTGGATGGGTGAGAATATGATTTGGATGGGTAAGTTTTATATGCCATTGTAACACATAAGAGTTAAACACAGTAATCTACAATGATAGAATTCAACTCTCTATACTTTTAGTTATCATATTTACGCTTGTTCATGCATACAAATTCCTGTTACCAGATTTAGACAACATATAACAGAGGTCCACAGAACATATTCTGTAGAAAATCTGGATTCAAGTAGGAGGAGGGAAGCATGAAAACTGGAGGAACGAACACCAGGAAGTTAAGATATGCAGATGATATTACACTATTTGTAGAATCATTACAGATTAACTACATAACTTGAAATGGATAATAATTAGGCCTGGGTAACAACAGAAAAATTTGTTTCTAAAATCGATTCGTTTTTTGGGGGTTTTTGCGTTTCGTTATTTAAAATAATTACAAAATTTTCCTTTTAAAAAGTTCGATATTTACGAAATTTCGTAAATGTGAAAAAAATTACAAAACATTAACGAATCGATTTCCGAAACAATAACGAATCGATTCGTTAATGGCGGACGCGACCGCGAAATACGCTAAAAAATCTCCAAAAACTTCTGAAGCTTCCCTCTCCCTCTGTTGTTGACTGTTGGTGTGATATTATAATTTTTTTTCACTAATTAAACAAAAAACAACCATAAAACTTGCCCCAGACATGCGGAAATAATAACGAAACGACCTCAAAACAATAACGAAACGAATACAATAACGAATTACGAAGCATTTACAAAACGTATTTAAAAATTCGTTTTTTCAAAAAAATGCTCCAGAATGGTTCGTTATCGTTTTGTAATTAAAAAAATTAACGAATTATTAACGAATTACGAATTAACGAAACGAAACTGCCCAGCCCTAATAATAATATTTTCTATACTATGGTTCAGTCATCCATCAAAACCGATACTGTAGTTGAGCAATCAGAAGAACATTGCAACTTAGAATAAACAAGATAATCTCCTAAGTATTGTTGTAAAAGTTGGACAATGAAGGAAGCTAGCAGGATGGGAGTCAACTCATTGGTAATGTGTTGGATGAGAGGTCTATAGATATCTTTGGCTACCAAAAAGACAGTAAGGTTGAGCGCAAATCAAGCCTTAACTCTCTCTAGGAACCATAATAAGCAAACCTGACATCCTATGTTGTGAATCATTAGAAAAGACTGCCAGCCCCCAGCCTCCTGCCCCCATTTACCTGCAAAACGTAGTTGAGGGGCCTGGATGCAGGCTCAGGCCCTTTGTCAAAAGCTCCTGGTGCATCATTGTAACGTTTGCTTTATAAAACAAGACAGTCTGTCCATTTCTGCCATTTCTAAAATATTTATAATCCAATTTTCTTTTGAGGATAGTTGTTTATTTTTCCATTTTTGAGCATAAAGTAGTCTTGCTGCTCCAATCATATAATGTAGTATCTTGAAATTCATGTTGTTTGTTTGTTCATTTGGAAGTCACAGTAGAAATAGTCAGATAGCAAGATCTCTTGCAAGAAATGTCATGCCCATCATGAAATATTATTTTGCTTGACGTAGGGACTGCCTCAATTAATCCTCTGAAACCTCCATTTTCAGATACTTTAAAAATGTTCCAGTTGAACTCTCCTCCTTCCATTCCCCCTCTTTCCCTCAGGTTGCTTGATTTGTATAAACTGAGTTCAAAGAGCAAAAGTAAAATACTGCTTTTTCCAGTTGGCTCTGGAAAAAGGAAACGGATGCAACCCCTACTAACTTGTGTGTTCTCCCTTAAAAATAACTTGTGGGTCAACTTGTGATGCTGACCCCACATTGATATTGCATTGCCACATGTGTCCTAGTTTTTGCCTGCAAAATGTTGGAAGGTGCAATGTTTTCTGTTCAATGCACTCAGATCTTTCAGCCCCCTTTCACTCATTTACTTTTTTTTAGTGGAGAAAGCATATGAAGCAGCTTTGCGATCCATAGTATTTCCATCTCTCCAGTGAAAGTCACAACTCAAATGGGTGTTTATGGCATATCTGTTAAAAATTTCTTAGCATACAGCTTTTATCATTAGTCTACTTAAGCCAACCATCAGTTACTAGTACTGTCATGACAATCTTAACCAATACAGACAACTCCTTAAATACATTCCTCATTCAATTACCAGAGTAACCTAGGGGCTCTAACTGGTATTCTATATGCCCATTATTAAAGGGTAATTCAGTGTAACAAGCCAAATCTAGAATCTACATAAGCTGTCAAGTAAAATAAACCAACTAACAAATTATATTAATTTGTGTATTCAGGAGGGGCAAAATGTCAATCACTTTTCATGTTTAAATGTGTGTGCGTGTGTGCATAGATATATTGTCTTCCTTCTCCAAGGTGACAAAAATAACACAATATAAAGACAAAGGATGTTTTTTTGTGTGTGCAAATGGCTTGCAGAGGATAATTGCATGGTTCTAATTCATAGGCTGCTTTTGTTTTTTCCCTTTTGTTCAAGATTTATCTCTATCCAAATGCAATGCAGCATGAACTCTCTTTTGCACTGCATTTTGTTTAGTGTTTTAAATAATTTTAAATATGTTTAACTGATTTTATTGCACACTGCCCTGAAATTCCATGATAAAATGATAAAACCGGAAGATCTCATTGCAGATCCATTATTAACTCAATAAAGGAAGCCATAGCCCCAGGTTTGCAACACCTGAGCAGGTGTTTGAGGAGCAGGGATCTTGAGGGCCTCTCATTCAATACGTTACCATAAGTCAAAGACAACTTCACAGCACATAAAAACAACAAAATAAATATTTAAATGAACAAACAAATATAAAGTTAAAGAAAGACAGTGATAGCAAGATTCAGTCCAGTAACTGCTGCTATTTTATCACCTTTCTTCATTTGGGGGGCTATGTATATTAGCAGCATTCAACACCATTTACTTTCTGCAATTGGGGGGGGGGTGTCATTCTATCCCCAAAGCTTTCTAACATTTACATGAAACAGGTGGGAGAGATCAATCAGAGGCATGGGGTGGGATGCTATCAGTATGCTGATGACACCCAGATATATTTCTCCATGACTTCAAAAACCACTGTAGCTAAGGACAGTGTCTCCTCTGAATGAATGTCTGGAGGAGGTAATGAGCTGGATGAATAAAGGCAAATTAAAACTGAATCCAGACAAAACAGAGGTGCTTGTTATTAAGAGTCCTAATCTGGGAATGGAAGTATTTCGACCAGTTCTGGATGGGGTTACTTTCCCCTTGAAAGACTGTATTCACAGCTTGGGAGAACCCCTGGATCCATCTTTCTCAATGTCAGCCCAGGTAGATGTGATGGTCAGAAGTGCTTACTACTAGCTTTTCTTCTTTCTAGAATTAGAAGTCCTAATGACGGTGGTGCATTCACTGGTAATCTCAAGTCTGGATTTCTACAATGCACTGTACATTAGACTACATTTGTACCATGTTTGGAAATTTCAATTAGTTCAAATCATGGCAGTCAGATTGGTTACGATAACATCTAGGAGTAAGCATATCACACCAATGCTAAAGTCACTCCCTGGTTGACTATTAGTTTCTAGGCAAAGTATAAAGTGTTGGTTTTGACCTTTAAAGCCTTCATGGTACCAAATGCAGATGCTACATCTATCCCATTCCATATAAATAAAATAAAGTGTGTTTGTCTGTTATCACATCACATGAAAAATGCTGAATGAATTTACACTAAATTTAGAGATGTGTACACTGTGGTATGGTCATCTAAGCATTGGATTATAACTCTGGAGACCAGGATTCAAAACCTATGGAAATCTACTGGGTGGCAAGCACATTTTCTCCACCTCAGAAGCAAAAAAAGGCAACCCCGCTCTGAACAAATCTTGTTGAGAAAATCTCTGCATAGGATTGCCTTAGGTTCACCGTAAGTCAGGGAAAGACTTGAAAGCACACAAAGACAAACATGAAATTAATTTTGAGATGACTTGGAGGACATCTCAATTATTGGAATTTCAACGTATTTTAAGGGTTTGTTTGACATGACATGTCTTAAAATATAGACAATTTGGAATGAATAAAATTCACTTTCAGGAGAACCTGAAGGAGTACCACAATTATTATTTTCATTTCAAAGTAGCCTGACACATCATTTGAAAAGTTTTAAATGAAGCTAAAACACCTTTTTGAAGTTTTGCTTTAAGAATGTGGTAAATAGATCTTATGACTGGTTGTCTCCACATCATGGATAATCGGATGGATTCTCACAAAATTTGAA